ATTATATTTATATTAATTGATTTTATATTATCTATATTATCTTTTATATTATCTTATACATTATAATTACACCCTTTATCTGCAGCTTTTTTCTGATCACATGGTGAAGAAACAGAGTAAATTCAAACCTAACTGTCATCAATTCTTAAAAAATCGTGCTTTTTTTTTGCAGGAGGGGTTTCCGGCTCTGGCCTCGGTTCCGTACCCGTCGTGGATCTATGTGATCATCTTCCTTTTGGCCGGAGTCCCCAGCCTGGCCGTGCCCGTGTTTGCTTTGTGTCGGCTGGCCACTTCGTGCTGCAGGAAAAAAGGTTTCCAAGAGAATTAATGAAGAAAATCTCATCTAGTGTTTGAAAGTCGCTAATTTGACCGCTTACCAGAATCCAAAATATTTTTGTTCATTTGTTCGTGCATTTGGCAGACGCTTTTATCCAAAGCGACTTACAGGATAGGGAGGAGCTGTTTTGGCCGGGAATCGAACCCAGGTCAACTGCTTGGAAGGCAGTTATGCTAACCACTAAAATATGTAGCATGTTATGTTGAAAATGCTTTGTTTGAATTGCTTTTGTTGTTGTTGCCTATTGTAAAGAGATTTCTCTTTGTGCTTCATAATGAAGCACGCTGGGAAACTATTGCTGCCGTCCATTAAAAAACCTACACCGTTCTTCACTTCTGTCTCCAGTCATTCAGGTTTCCTCCTACTGTCATTTATGTTGCTCCTAATTTAAGTTTAAACTGAGAAACATTAAACAAAATCATCTCTGTTATGATTCAGTTTTGCCGGTGCTACATCTACTTGTACAATCTAAATATATATAAATATAAAAATAAAAAAATATATATATACAGTAAACATTTCTTAGCCCTGTAATGCCAAATTTGTCATAGCTGATACGGTTTCTAAAATGTTTTGCATCTGACCCCTTTTGCATAATTTAATGGTAAAAACTTTGCTCAAAATCCTATTGTACACAATCAGATACACCTGATAACAGGGGGCAGAAGATACACAAAAATAATCTGGACTTATCGCATAGTAATAAATTATTAATATTAAAAATGTATTTTTTTTTTCTTTTTACATATTTTATTAAAAGGCCAAATAAGAATTCAAACCAAAAAAAGTCATTTTGTGTTTTTTTTTATTCTTGGATCGGGTATTTCAACAAGGTGAAGATGTAGTGCAGCAGACTGGCCAGAGGGGGGCGCTGTCTCCACCACACCACCGTTCTCATGTCCTTCCAGGAACAGTGAGAGAGGAAATGGAGGTCTAAGGGTCGGCCATTCAGACTCTAACCGACCGTGAACAGTAGCGTGGAAAGCTGAGGCGACCTTTGGAGTTTCCCTGTTTTTAACGGCTAAAGCCGATCGCCCCATCGTCAGGAGAGAGAGAGAGAAGATAAGCAGCTCCAGCTAAAGCTGAAAAACCCACCCACAGAACCACACACGGGCTCTTTATGTCAGGATGGAAATCTGGACCACAAAAGATGCTTCTCAAGGACAGCTTTGTGGGGTTAAGCCACCACAGTTTAAGATTCAATTCAAGTCAATTCAGTTTTATTTCTATAGCTCCACATCACAACAACAGTTATCTTTCCAAACAGAGCAGGTCAGACCTACTCTGA